TATCAGGTTAAAATTACACAATGTGTCACTCTCACACACAACACTTATGCTTTACACAGGTACCTCAAAAGGAAAATTTTCAAAACCTTACATATTTTAATTACCTTCAGTAATGTCTTATCAATAGCAATATAAGATTAAAGAAATGTAAGGAATGTACAGCTGCACATCATCTCACTTCCTTGATAAAAATGGGAATTAAACAGGTGTCTGAAATGCTTCTGTGTAACAAAGACCGAAAGAACTAAGAAAACACACATGCAATTTCCTCAAAACCAAACAAAACAAATCTGCCGTGGAGCTTTCATTTACTATGTACCTTCCCTATTTTCCTTCATTTTCTACTATTTCTGACACCATTCTAACAACCATTTGGTTCATCAAGTGACAGCACACCAAAAGTAATAAGAAAATGGTAGTTTGACCAGATACTCTAAGCAAAGAAACAAAGAACTTTACAGAAAATTTGTATCCCCACTAGTAACCATATCTCAAAGGATCTGGACTGGAATTCTGCAGCCTGTTGAATGAATAAGTAAACATATTGTAGATAATGAAAACCACCTTTCTCACCATCAGAGGTATTACAGATAAGAAAGCCGAGAAGGCCAAGACCAATTCTGTGATGTTGGACATAACCAAAGATCAGTGTGTCTGGCTTGTCAATGCACACGGCTGAGTCCACAGTTGCAACAGGGAACAAATAAGATGAGCCTGGAGTATGTCTGATGTCAGACACTAGAAATACTCACAAAGGACAGGAATATGGTGAAAGGCCCAAGGGCAAAGCTAAATCCCCAATGCTCAAAGCTGGAAGAATCTGAGTAACAAACTGTAACTTAAAAAATATCTATACAGGGCCAGGCGTGGTGGCACACGCCTTTAATCCCAGCACTCGGAAGACAGAGGCAGGTGGATCTTTGTGAGTTCAAGGCCAGCCTGGTCTACACAGTGAGCTCCAGGACAGCTGGGGCTACAGGGAGACCCTGTCTCAAAAAGAC